CCTCCCCCCCCCCACATCCACAGCCCCTCCAAACTCGCTGACGAGCTGTCAATGACGGGCGACCGGTCGGTCTTTGAGGTGACCCGGAGAATGAACGAAGCGAATCTGCGGCGGCTGGAGAACCAGCCAGAGCTGCCTGGAGACAACCTACATCCTCCCCTCAAAGCACTGCCGAAATCACCGGAATTGATCTTGGGAAGCGCTGGTGCTTTTTGCTGTAAACTGTAGATACGTCTTTCGGGGGTCTCTTTTTGGAAGGGCTCAAGTCGAAGAAAAAACAAAAGACCCTATGCACCCTTGTTGAAGGCTTTTCAGCCTGACCCCTCCAGCTCGTACCTTAGTACATGGCAGGGACATGACCCGAACACAAAACAGGTACGACTGCCAGGAGTCACAAAGGGGTGGTTTTGAGTCCCTAAGTGAGTGGAGTAGCTGGGCACCCCAAACCTCCATTAAGATCCATTAAGCACTCCTTTGTGACTGCTGGTGTACCCATTTTTCGAGGTACGACTGAGACCTCCAGGTAGGGTCTATTCTGGTTCATGCTTGCCTGTGAGGACATGAGAGCGACTTGATCATCACAGTTTCAAAAGGGGTGGTGTCTCAACATCACTTGCATGAAGGACAGCATTTCCCAGCTCCCAACACCAGATCACGTGTGGGTGTGTAGAAGGTTCGGGAGATCTCCCAGGCAACCAGCCGAAGGTTCGGGGGGATAGACCTGTTGCACCCATTGGTTGGAGATCTCCTTATAAACATGGTACGTGGAGATCTCCAAGTGGAGGGCCTATTCTCAAGCATCGCAAGTCCGAGGTTGGCAAGAACTTGGTGGGACTGCAATTGGATTGCAGTCTTGTGCGTCAGCTTGCCCTCCGTAATCCTTTGCCTGTGTTGCTGCTACGGATGTTTGATTTGCCTTTATCCTGAGCATTATGGCCTTTGGATACGAAGAGCTTGGGAAAGACATCAGGACCGGTTCTCACGGTGGCGGGTCCAAAGTGTGGTCTCTCGGAGCTCATCCACTCACCACCGCAGTCAGTTCGTTTAGGACCGACGGATGGATGGAGACCGAATTCACGGCGGGTCGTGCTCAACCACCCGGTCGCACCCGGTGCTGGCGATGAGGTTTTTAGAGACCCGTTTGGCCTCCAGTCGTACCGAACCTGAGGTAAGGTGGGACTGGGGGCCCGGGTGCCAGGAGGGTCCAGTCATACCTTCTGAGGAGGTACGACTGGAGGTGTAGGAGATTGATTGAAGATGATTGAAGATGTTGGGAACATCGTTTCATACAAAGAGCTACCACCGGTAGGATACCGGGTGTCCTTGATCGTTTGCCATACCTGTGTTTTGTTCTGCGGCCTTTCGTGAAGCACTTTGGGCATCCGGGCATTGTTCTTATACACATGCCCTAGCCTTCCGTTCGACCATGAAACGGTTGAACTGGGTTTTGGTTGCGTCAAAACCTTAGCTGCTTCGGGATGACCGGCCTGTAGCGGTTGGACGTCGAGGGCATGAGTGACCATCCACCATCTTCGACCCCCGTGGCTGCCTTCACCACGTCCATCGCGCGGCGCCCCAGCCCAGCTCCCGCCGGCACATCGATCGGTCGGTCGGTCTTCGCCCCGTAGGACGTGCGAGCCATGAAACGCGTGGCGCGGGAAGCAGGGCGCGAAGAGGCCAGGGCTTACTTGCGGAATGCCAATGGCAACGAAGTGCACGAAGCTCCGAATCTCGAAGTGGTATTGACCGAGTCGGTTGGCGGTTTTTGTTTTTTTGGAGAAGACATGGGGTGAGAAAGAGCAGGGGATTGTTGAAGATGCTAGCTCCAAAAGCCACTGGTGGCTTATAAAATGACCTTTTGTGAGAATTTGATGCTAAAACTGTGAAAGCAGATGAGGAAAACCATCTTGTAAAGCCTGTACCTCCAGAATTTGCCCTGAGACCCCTAGAATGATCTAGAATGCAACATCAGGTACTCATGTCACTCAGATTGGATGCCCTTGAGACACCACCAAAAACAAGTTTTCGAGCCTTCCAATTCCACAAAAAAGCCCTAAGAAAGCGATTGACGAAAACATCTCGCATAGCCAAACAAGTGTTCGGACGCTATTCTGCGCTTGTCATTGGAACCCGTTCCCTGCATTGATATAAAGCACTACGTTGAACAAAATCTTACACAAACATAGGCCCCTTCTAGACTATCATTTTATAGACAGGTTGGTGTAGCAGTTTATAGGCATTTCATCCTGTTCCCACCATTCTATAAACGGCTATCTCTATGAAGTGGAAAACCGCAGCCCAAGCAGATTCAACTGGTATGCAGACATCTAATCTTTGCCCTAAGGATTCCAACCACCATAATTATTCAATAGCCTTTACCAAACAACTATGGCTTTTACTAAGGACTTGACACTACCAGATCAACCCGAAAGCGTCTTAGAGATGGTCGAACGGACAAACTGTTTGCGTCACACCCAGACGTGACCCTGGGCCCCAATCCTCTGGAGGGGTCGGACCCGAATCCTCTGGAGGGGTCTGGGGTCGAACCAATCCCGGTTTTGAGGGACCAGTCGAGCTGTGAACGGAGCGTCTGGGCAGAACACCTCAAGGTCTCCAAGTCTTGGATCCCACGTTTGTGGCCGAGCTCCCTCGCCTCCGAGGAGCTCTTGGGTGAATCCGCAAAGCGTGGGTGTGACCTCCGTCGCGCCACCGGCTGCTGCGGTTCAAGTGGATCAAGGCTACTATAATGCCAAGGAAACGGAGTGAGACCCGGCATTTTGTGTTCGGAGCTGGTCAGGTTGGTCAGGTTGGTGATCAAACTTGTGAGCTCCAGAATCGTCCCAACGGGTTTGCCCAAGGAGGGAGGTCATTTTGCTGTGTTCTTATCAAAACGTACATTGAGGCAGTCTAGGCACAGGACAAACCACGATGTTTGAGTTCCTCTGAGCCGCATTCATGGGGGATGTGGCTCATGACGTAATGCGTCATGGCGGCATGCATTGGTATGCCTTTTTTGCCAGCATGACTTTCTTGACGCCAAGTGAATCCAAAGACTGTCACTGCCAAGCAGCCTGGCTGTCTTTTTTATGTCACCTGCGCAAGGATGGTAGCAAAAGAGCTGCCCAGAGGCCCACGGAGTAGGATGTTGTGCATGTTTAAACCCTTCCGATACGTGCAACTCGCCAGGCACTGCTGAATAGCAGCAGCGCAGCACTCGAACCCAACAGAGAGCAGGGGAACGAAGAGGATATTACTACCACCCTAAGAATCCTTAATCTCTCCATGGGGGTCGGACCCTCCATAGCAGGGGTCCGGGCCCTCAAAACCCTATTTGTTTGATCTTAGGGCAGGACCGAAACCGTTCGTCCCGTGGCTTGTGGACACCCCGTTCCTCACCTCTTGATGAGGCTATAATTCAAAGACACCTCGAATGGGCGGTCCTGGTACAGATGATCCCCAAGTTTCAAGTCAATCTATGACAATACACAAATTGCAGAAAACCCAAACGCTCCATGAGACTGCCATCGGACTGCCGATCACTTGGCTCCCCGAACCACCACCCAAAATTGATCGGCAGTCCTATGGCAGTCCCATGGAGTGTATGGGTTCTAGTCAAATGAGTCCCCCCCCTGGCCTTCCAAGACCCTTTTAAAAAAATGCTTTGAACATCTTTGAACTGGTTTTGGTTGTGTAAGATCCTTAGCTGCTTCGGGATGACCCGCCTATTAATTTAAGCTTGGAAGTCATCCGGGTCCCTGTGAAGAACCAGGGACTGTCTCACCCTGTGGCACTCGGTCCAACTTGATCCCCCCCAAGCGTCCAACGAGACATGTCCCCCAAGCGACGTGAAACAACATGTATACCGAAGGGGTGGGCCTTTAGTCCCACCCACCACTCACTGGATATTCTGGGCACCCCTATCCTGTTTCTAGGGGAATCTGGGTCGTACAACTCTGGCTCACTCACATGGTTACGTGGACAATGGCCCCTGTGAAGAGTCTTTTCGTCTACAATCAGGTGGTTTACCATTTCCATGTTAGTGAGTCAGAGTGTACGATCCTTTTTTTTACGTTCGGTACACATGTTTTTGTGCCGTTGTCGAAGACTGATTGAAGTCGAAAGACGAGCTGCTCGTGCCCAAGTGAAGTGAAGGAAGTTCCCACAAATCAGGTACTCTATGTACTCTCAAGCCATACACCTCCAGTCGTACCGAACCTCAGCGGTTCGGTATGACTGGACCCGACCCTGGCACCCGGGCCCCTAGTCTCAGGTTCGGTACGACTGGAGGCCTAGGGAAGAGGATTCTTTATAATCTTTGACTCTCTGGGTACACTGCTTCAACAACATACACTCCTCGAAAGAATCACACGTTGATGGGCTTATCAATTGGCCAACAACTACGTGCTACTACAGCAACGGCTTACGCACGCGTGATGGTCACGTCAGCTGTTGCCATCTGAGAATTCTTGGTAGACTCCCTGAACGAAACGGAACGGAAACGGCTCTGGAAGACTCTACTCAGACTCAGATGACAATGAGTTTTCCATCCGGACACCTAGCAGGTGGTTCAAGCAACGATGATTTTCAGGGACTGTATGTATGGTAGAACCCAATATTTTTTTTCACCACCCCGAAATGAGCTTCCATGATCTTGAGGGTTAAATTCAAGATGGGTTGAGTTTGATTCGTAGCCATGAGTCTTCCCCCATGCTTATATCCAGATCAAGACTTCTGCTCCTTGCTGTCAGCCGGTGGAAGCATCAGCCCAGAGTCTGGCTCCACCACCAAATGGAAGCAACAACAATCAACATAGCACGGGTTCAAATTAAACGCCAGGTCGCAGGGAACAAACCAATAAACTTCATGTGTAGTGTTTATCTTCCTTGGAACGTAGATGACCTAGATGACCTCAAGCCATTTGGGGGGGGCATTGAATGCAATGGAGTTACTTTAATTGGAGGTCAACTGACCTCGGACTGCCATTCCGGCACCTTCCTCAGGTGTCCACGCCACAGTTCGAGCGCAGGCCATACGGGGTGAGCCAGTGAGCCGGCGTGGGGGGGGGTTGGAGCTCGCCGATTTCGGGGCTCACCGAGGCGGAGAGCGGCACCTTTCGGCAGAAGCCATTGGTGCCATTCGGCATAGAGTTAGCGATATACAATGATGCAATGAGGTCCCTGGCAGAAATGTTGAGTTCTTTTTGTTGATGGTTCATCAACACCTTTGACACCTCTTTGGGGGGGCTACTCATGGACTTTGAAGGATGGGGGGTCCTGGTCGATCCCAAAAAGTGAGTTCTGCACTTTTGGAGTTCAGCAATCAACCCTATATATTAACATATATTTAACTAACTAAACCTCTATACCAGGACCCTCCGACCCGACAGGGGTGTCCTGGCTGGACTACCCCACACGGATCCTAGGATGGCTTCCAGGTCCAGGGCACCCCGGTCCAGGAGGGTCCAGGGATGGCATCCATGGCACCAAGACCTGGACGGTGCCACGTGTTGGATTGAGACGTGCAGGAGTGGACATGGGACAGTGGACGACGGGGTGTTTCTGTTCATGTGACATTTCATGGTGGAAGCACCCCATTTCTCCACGTTGTGTCCGGACACAAAACAGGTCAAACTAGGTTGCGGCTTCGATGCATTCCAATATGTTTTGTCGAATCAACATGGAGGGATACACAAGTCTTCTTGGTGGGTAGCTTTCCCTCTAGAACACCACACGTATTCCACACCACTTGCCTCACGTATTCCATGCAAGGCCGTTTACCATCATGTTCTTCTTGGCGGATGACACCTTAGAGATCTCCGAGCAGTACCCGCTGAACTGCGGCAGGCGGGCGGAAGCTGACTCGCGGACGGGTGCAGCCGCGCCGCAGCCCTGTAAACCAGTAACAGTCACTGAACCATCATCATCATCATCATCATCATCATCATCATCATCATCATCATCCACTGAAACCTGGTAATGGGATCTATATTAACCCTATAGTCCAGCGCGGCTATGCGTACTTTCCCGTGCTGTGGATCAAAAGAAATTCCTGGCGCCAGGCGATTCCTTGTTTTTTCGTTTTTGACTCGCGTTCCGGGATACCCAACATACATGGCGTTCTCTCCAAACAGTTTCTGCTCCAAACGTTCTGCTCCTGGAGGTCTGGGGAGGTCTGGGACATCTCTAGATGCCAATCTCTGGAAGAGATGCCGGACTCAACCAGTCGCAAGTCCAAACTGTACCCATTAAACACCACGTACCACCTCTTTTAAAATATCTGCTCAATTGGTAGCCTCGTGAAGACGATTTCGAATGAGTTTGATTCCCCTCAAGTCAGAGCTTCCCAGACGCTCATGCACCCTTCTAAGTAGGGGCCGGACTCCCGGACCCACATCCTATGGAGGGGTCCGGACCTTCTCACCAATCCCTATGGTTTTGAGGGACCTGGAAAGGCCTGTGAACGGAGCGTTGGGGTTGATTCTTGTTCAAGTCTGTGGCCAATAACCGGATCGCCCTTTTTGCGACCTGAACAAGCTATGTGCCCACTGTATTTGTGGGTGATGCGCACCCATTCTCGCAGCATAGGCGATTCACATGCGAACAGCACATCTCAGCACGACATGAAAAGTAGAGACCCTATAGGGATCCAGCAGAACATACTTGGACCCTCCAAGCCTACAATTACCTTCTGACCAGGTGGGACTGGATCCCTAGACATTGGGTCACCTGATGTTGTTTCCAGCCCCAAAAAAGAATCCCTCCCAATTCCAGGGCTTCTCCAGCAATTCAGCCGCTTCAGCTTCGCTGGTCTTCGGCTTAGCTTCGCTTCGCAGGGAGAACTTTCCGATCTTCTTCAAGCGTGGGAAGATCCCCTTTGGACCCTACAAGGTGGAGGGACCCCAGGCACAAGCTCGAAAGAAGCATGAGCCCCTCGGTGGAGCGGCAGCGTGCAGAGCACGGCGGGCGCGAAAGGCGCAGCTGAACGGGGGCCCGTTCGGATATGATAGGATATGTTAGGATTATATTTCAGTACAACTACCAGCACCCTCCAACAGGTCTCCTCTGGAGGCTTTTGTAGACTTAACAGGTCTCAATTGGTGACCTGTTGGAGGGTGCTGGTAGAGATAAATACTGAAATATAATGTTCGGATTCAACCAAGAGGTCAGGTGGAGACCGGGGACGGTCAAGTACCCGGCGACGTGGCCCCGCGGACGGTACCGGGCCGCTATTTCGCTTCGGAACGCCCGGTTTGGGGGGTCGGTTTGGCGGGTCGAATCAGGGTTGAAGTAATTGAATGGATTTAAGGGAGGGACCGAACGGGGCGTTTGGGTTGAATTCCCGTCTGAACACCCAGACGGTTGAAGCAATTGAATGGCCCTAAGAATCCGAGTCCGGCCTCTCCATGGCAGGGGTCAGACCTTCTCCCTCTTCGCAGGGGGGAAAAGGGCCCGAACCGGAAGGCGTTTGGCGTTGAATTCCCTGAACACCCAGGAGACGGCTGAGGATGGACAAAACCGTTTATTAAATGGAATAACCCAACGAATGCTTAACATATATTATATGAATCCCAGATTTTATGCCTGGGGGTATTTGGGGGTATAAATATATAGTCACGCAACATAAAAGCAGGGTAACGTATGTAAAAGCCACACGAACTCTGTGGTGCGGATTTGGGGTGATTCACTTTTGCTTCAGGCAGCCGCAGTGAGACGCTCCCACCTTTTTGGTTTCAACGATGCTTGGGAGAAGGGGAAGTCACACCCAAAGCAAAACATCGACTTCGGCCCCTAGAAGTGTGAATCTCTTTGGACAGTTCCTGAATCATGAGCCTCTCTTTCTCTCTTTGGTCGGGGCTAGTGGAGGCCACAGAAACGCCGCCCCAACGCCGCACGAAGATGTCCACGGCGTTTTGCTGCTGCAGGTTTGTGCATGGCCACGACTTTCGGGTGAATACTACGGTGCCTTGAGGGACGGTGAAATACTACGACGTTTTGAGGGGCTTTGGATGGCATATGGGTTTATTTACCCTAGGGCTCCTGGCCTACCTCCGTTTCGAAGCTGGTTGGGGTGGGTACAGGTCTAACCACCGAACCTGAGGAGATGGGCCAGGAGCCCTAGGGTTAGGTAGGCAGCCCAGGAGCGTCATGGAACGTCCTGATTGGAATCTAGAGGAAACATCAAATCTTCTGAAATGCTGGTTGTGTCCTTGGTGATTCCCATTGATTCCATGTTGTTCCTGATCCTTTACTTGCTTAGTATGCTTCTGTGGGCAAAGATCAAGCGAAATAGATGATTTGCTGCGAGCATTTTCCAGGGTTCCTAGCTACCTGACGTGGTGCAGTGATGATCAACGCCGGACGTAATATTTGTTTGTGAATTCTGACATCTGTGCACAACAGATCTCTTTCTAGACAGGGGAGTGCTTGTTTCTGTTTCTTTCTTTCCCAGAGGATCCATGGTGGCGTTTTCATATGACCTACATGAACCCCCAAAAAAACCATCAAACGTAAGTGCGCAAATGTCGGCGATACTTGCTATCCCATGGATCCTCGACGTGTTGGTTTCTTTCCTTATAGGGCTCCGCTTTCGGGCTCCGTTCGGCCGCCGTGTCTCCGTTTCGGTTCGATGGGACACCGGTCACCGGAGATGGTTGGAGCCGATGGGGCCCCAAAAAGGGTCATAGAATTGATGCCCTGGGGATCTAGAAGGTGATTGGAGACACTTGGAGACACTTGGGGATCTAGAATTAATCCCTTCTCAGAAGGTGATTGGAGACACTTGGACATCAACTCCTTTTCGACTCGAGCCAGTACGAGCGACTCGGGTGGGCCATCGTCTCGACGACGGTTGAAACCGGCGACCAGCCGCTGGTTTCACCGGTCGGGATGGTCCACAGTCGGTGGAGATAAGGGTACAAGGTACACGAGATGGAAGTGGAAAAAACCCTTAGTTGGTACAAGGGGCCCAGGCCATCCACGTAACCATGTGATGTGTTCGTCAGAGGATAAAAGAAGTCAACACACAACTTGGTTGAACAATCCCCAAGCTTGTTGCATCCAAATTCTAGAGTGGAGACACTTGCTGCACAGCCTTCAAGTGGAGACAATCCAATTGATTCGGGTGGCCACTTTGGATGTGCCCACTGTTACTGTAGAGTTCAACAAAGGCTGAATTTACCACCGCGTCCAGCTGACGGGCAAACAGAGATGGTAACCTAGGGCCTTCCATCTCAGGCAGGGTTTTGTATGCAATGGTGTGGCTGTCGGCAAGTGACTGTGAGCCCACTGACCTGCCCCGTTTCCGAAGGAACTTGCTGTGCAACACCAGAGTTTGCTGAGCAAGTTGACCCCCAACAAAAGGCGAGTTATCCTGAGAGACGATGTGAACTTCCGTCCGCCCATGTTCCAGCTCCAAGAGTTCGCTGTTCAGCTGAGAAAACGATCCCCTGGTCACACTGTTCCCATCCCAACGCTTCAAGCAGCCCTGGGATAGGAACCAATCTCTCCAGAGGCAGGTGATTTCCATCTTTCTTTGAGAAAGACCGAAATCTTTCCGTTGGGTCATGCGACGGCGGGCCGCATGCGCTGCTTCACCCTCAGGTGCAGCTCCTGGGGAACTATTCCTTTTTCATCTATGATGCAGATGAGTCCAGAGCTCAGATGCACCACACCACGTCGCTGCTAATAGAGCTTGAGAAATTGAAGCGACACAATGGAAGGAGCCCGCAGTCGAAGATGCGGTGCTGTGCAGTGTTTTTTTTTTTTTCAGCATCCACTGCTAAAGTGATGACTAGAACCATACATTTGTATATTCTAAGTCTGGATACTTAGTCTAAAACATTTATCCAGGAAACTATAGTCAAAGACCTTTTCTGTGTTGTTTTAAGAGTAGAATATGTATGCTGTCCGGCCCCCAGCAACAAGTCGAAGACCGTCATTCGTATCAAGTCGAAGACCTGCCTCGGTGTCCGAAGACCTGCCACGAGAACCCCAAGGGCTTTCATGATCCGAAGTGGAGCGATGAATACAGGACACCGGAACTCACACTGCTTGACCTCACCTCAGCACCATCAGATGCTTTCCAACGTGACGGTCGTCGCGTTGGATCCATCAGGACTTGGTTCTCCTGTGGCCACTGGTAGCGACCTGACCCGATCTGACCCTTGCCCTGTGCCTCACTTCTTAGTTCCATAGAGTCTGAATGATAGGAGACAGCCCATCACCCCATAGGGTTCGGATGGTTTTGGTCTCATTTTTCAATATATGGAACCACTCTTGGTCCCTTGCGGCCCTTAGTGTGCCCACCGGTGCCCGCGCTTTGGAACCTCGCACGCGCCACGGCGGCGATCCTTCGACGTCCGCGAAGAATCGGCGGCGATTGACGTCCACCTGCCATCGCGCGAAGGTTCACGCGGAACTACTTCCGCACGCAGCTGGGCGAGGAGCTGGAGCCCATGGTCGACGTCCGCCTGCCCGAGCGCGCCGTGCCCAGGCGGTCCGTGCGTCGCGTCACGTCGGGGCGCTGTCTCGTTCGTGGAGAGGCGACCCGGTGGGGCAAGGGAGGCATTTCATGCCGTGGGGGACGGGGGAACGAGGCTGTGGACGTCTTTGACGGGACGGTGTGATGGTTAGGAGGTGTGGTTAGAAAGGAGGTGTGGTTTCAAGTGGGAGATCTGGTGATCAGTTGAAGGCAAAGGAACAAACATCGCTAGGTGTGTGGTTTCAGATCTTTTGATGTTCAACCCTTACTTGCGAGGATCGATCCCTTGAACACTTATTATGTCATCTTGTGTCATCATGTTATCAAGTTCTTAGGGATCCAAGTACCTTCTCGGAAGGTGAGGACGGAGACACTGCCAGGAGTGTCCAGTCATTCATACCTGAGAAGGTACTTGGAGCCCTAGGGAGTGGGTTGAAACCACCAACCAGCCGGTGAATCTCCGCTTGGTGTGTGCCCTGTCTGTGTCGCCATCCCTCCCCGCCAGGGCCAAGACGCCGCCCTACACGGGCTATGGACACTAAGATGCAGCGGACGGGTGCGTCTCGCGGATGGGTCTGGCTCATAGGACCCGACTTCGATGGGACATGGAGTGGGACTGGCACATTTACAGCCCCATTGGGGTGGTTGACTGGGGGCATATGTGGGCATATATACCAGCCCCATGGAGTGTCTGGGAAATTGAAAGACAGGTACGACCTTTTTCCTCCATGTTCAAAGGTACAAGTTCATCCATGTAGACAGAACCTGCCTGGGACTGGCGGCCGCGGATGGGTTGATTGAATTTGATTGGCCCGAGACTTCGAGAGCTTCGGGGCCGTCTGGAGCCGTCGGTCAACGAGAACATCGCTAGAGAGATGGATGGAAGGGCCTGCTTGCCCAGGCCACATCATCCACGGGGTCCACTGGTAAATAGGAGATACATGGATATACCCCCATGCATCCCAATGCATCAATGGTAGCTTTTTGGAATCTCCCACTCAGCCACAGGAGAAAGCACAAAAAGCATGCTTCAAAAAGCCACCTTCAGCCCCATGCGCTCGCACGCCCCATGGATACGCCCACGCCACAGAAGTCCCATTGCCTTCCTCTCTTCCAAGGAAGCTGGGAAGATTCCATGGGCTCGGTGACGCATATCGTCCCCAAGTTGCCCAAGAAGGAGCGAGCTCGACCCGCCGAAGGGAGAAGAACTCCGTCCCTTCGTCAGACGCTCTTAGTGTCAGGTGTGTGGAAACAAGAGGGGCGCCCAGCTGGAACCGGGTGGGGTGTACTGATAGATTGAGTTCAAGGTCGGAAGTCTGTATGCCAAAACGCCTGGTCTTGCTCAGGATGTTGAAACATGGGTGAATCCCCTTCTGGTGGATATGTTTTTTCCCCACCTGCCCGGTGAGGGTTGTGAGATTTTATCAGAGCTCTTCTCCTTTCTCCTTCCTTCCTCCTTCCTCCTCCGCCTCCTCCTCCTTCGCCAGATCGCAGTGGGCACAAACGCACAACCACAAACACAATCACAAACACACAACCACAAACACAATCACAGACACAATCACGAACACAAAATCACAAACACACAACCATAGCCACAACCACAAACACAAACCACAAGCACAAACACAAACACACAAGCCACAAGCATAACCACAATCACAAACTCAAACACACAAACACAATCACAAGCACACAACCACAAACACAACCACAACACACAACCACAGACACAGAAACCACAAGCACAACCACAAACACACAGCCACAGACACAGAACCGCAACACACAACCACAACACATAACCACTACACTCAAACACATCCACAAACACACAACTACAACAATATAATGCCAACTGGAGACCCTGGCGACACACCGGCGCGAACCCTCTAACGCAAAAATAACAATCCCGAACCCGAGGACCCACAAGCAAAGTCAACAAAAAAAAACAAACGCACGACCATGGCAATATGACCCTCACCATGGCATGAAAGCAAATGATTGAAATGTCACGGTGGTCATCTTTTTCCCGGTGCCTTACGCAAATCCAGCATCTCCTTTGCAATTCACAAATAACACATCAATCACTGGATGTTGGGGTGCTTTTTCGAGAACAGCATCGCTTCCGCAGGACTTAGTGAAGCTCTTCCAGCATGAAGGCAAAGTGCTACGCTTCAAGGCAAGGTTTGCCAAGCCAAAGCCCGAAGTGCCTCGGCGATGGTTCCAGGCAAGGCGTAAGTTGTGTTGTGCCGGACCAGTTTTGGCTTCTGCACATGTCAGACGTAGTAAGACGCGGTAAAACTAGGTGACTATACCCTAAGCCCTAAGCAATTATGGAAAGTATAGAATATACCCTAAGAATCCGGGCCTCACATGGATTGGGTTTGGGTCGGCACCTTTGCGTATACCAGCACCCTCCGGGCCAGGTGCTTCCTGGTGACCAGTTCGGTGCCCAGGTTCACCACCTGTGGTTGGGTCTCCAAACAGCCTGGTCAGGAGGGTTCTGGTAGCTCGAGCATACCAAGACCCAGGCCTGGCCTGGTTGATACACCTCTGCCATGAATAGACCACCCCAAGGGGCGGGGGGTTTTGGGGTCTACCTGGTATACCTTCTGACTGTCGAAACTTCCTTCTAGGATAGGTCATCCAACACCATCTTGGAGGAATTTGGAAGACACATGATCCAAAATAGGCGGCCGTTTAACCATCGTTAGATAGAACCAAAAAATGGATTCTAAATTTTGACCCTTAGTGACTTAGTGCTTAGACTTCGATTCTTCGATTCCCTCGCACTGACCCTCGCACTGACTTCCCAGAGCTCCGCGTCAAGGATGCAGATCGCTTGTTCGTCATTAGCTTCTACCTGCAGGTGGGGCCTCCCTGTTCTTCCGAAAGACACTGCCGCAGACTTCGTGAACCGTGGGGCCCGTGGTGCGAAGTGGTTTGCTGCGAAACCCAGTCCCGAAACCAAATGGCTGTGGCACTGTTTCGATGCCTTGACATCCGTTTTGTGGCTGCGGTTGGGACTCGGGAAGCATCCAGACTCGTTAGGGCCGTTAGGGCAGGGTGAAGCGGAGTGATCCGCTTGGAAGCTCCGTAACCCGATAGGGTCCACGGCATCCCTCCGAATCTACGACTGGGCCCGCCTGGGTCGCGCCCGATACAGTCAGTGTTACCGTCACCGTACCTCAGGTTCGGTGGCAGTGGATCCGTAATTACACTCCATGGGACTGGAATATATGCCACAATGCCGATCAATTGACCCCTTTGGCACCCTAATTGATTGGCAGTCCTATGGCAGTTCCCATGGAGAGTGTGGGATAGGGTCACGCGGAGTGACCGCGGACTCGCCACCGTTCTTTGACCACCGGCGCCACGACCTTCAAGAGGTGATAAGGGCTGACCAGTTCCAGTACGGGCCAAGATCTACACTGACCAGTTCTCTTTGGGGTCTGGGCCATCTACTCTTATCCTTCCAGCACTCTTCTCCTGGGAAATACAGTGGTTTCAGAGTAGATGGCACGTTTCCCCCATGATGTCCTTTAGATAGATACAGGTCCATATAAACCACCGGCATTGGGGTCGCCATCTATTCTCAAATCCAATGGGGTCGGTCTCACTTCAAAGGGGTCGGTTTCAATTCACAACCTGTCCGGAGGGTGTTTGGGGTTTTCACGACCTGTCAGAGTCGCTGCATGTCGCTGCCCCGCTTTGGGCGCCGGCAGCCACGGTTCGCGCCACCTACCGGTGCCGCGACCTGCGACCTGCGACCTGCGCACTCGTGTGAGGATGACACCTTGGCCATCCATGAGCCGCCACAACGGAACATGGGTCACTCGAGAGTGATAGAGTGATGGAGATGGGTATAGGATTGCGAAGGGAAAATGGATGCAAGAAGTAACTACGTTGATACATAACACCCCCTATACCTGAGTTTTCCATGGTTTTCCTAGCTAATTATATCTAATTATGTGTTTCTTTGGGCTTTCCAATCAAAACACGTGCCAAATCTCAGCGTCGAGATTTTCTCCCTGACTGTGAGATCTTTGTGGGACCAAGTCCTCACTTGTGCTCCTTCAGGCTAAAGGACGCCGGATGTCTTTCTTTTGGACCATCCACTTTGTACCCTAGAAAATGGCACCTGGCCCGAACAAAACAAAGGTACCTGGCCCCTCCCAATGTACTTCTGTTTTGGAGTACTTTAATTTGACAAATCGGAGGCCCAACGAGAGGTACTTGCATCAGTTTTCTGAGGTACCAGTTCCGGATCTACTCCCAGTTCATCCCACGCTCCCCCCTTACCTCCCAAACCGCTGCCTTTCTTTTGGCCCCGTTCGAAAGAACGCCTTTTGCACCTTAAAGAACGCTTCCAAAGACGATCCAAACGAGCGGCCGAAACCGAAAGAGTCACCTCAGGTATTGTCACCGGGCGCTTCTTAGAGAAAGGTGCCACGTTAGACCGCGTGGGAGTCGCAGCCACACGAGGCAGACATTTTGGAATGAGAAACCACCAACCATGCAGCTTCGTCCGTTGCGAAAGCTAGGCTTATTTGGGCGAACAAAGTGAGAAATTAGGGTGGGTGGGAGACGTGTCATTGGGGTAACAGAGCGTGCTGATGTTAGTGGTGTTGTTGTTTGATCATTTTTGGTGAGCTTGTGATGCAAAAGATGCAACATGAACCTGTGTTGGCATCACCTGCATCATACCTGGACCCTCCAAGGCGTGTCCAATGGACTGCCCCACACTACCTATAGGCTTCACCCCGACAGGAGGGTCCTGATAAGTTTATTCGGGTACTTTGTTTTGGAAAGAGGCTGATACAACATGGATTGCGCACGTTCCTTTGAACTCCAAGTCGGACTCCCAAGTTTCGAGTAGCGCGCGGGCGCCCTGTCTTTCCTTTCCCCCTTCTCAGCTCTAAGAGGTTTGGAGAGCAGATCACCGCGGTGGTGTTCGCTCAAGGAGTTCATGTCATGACAATGATAAAATGTCATGCAAGAAGCTCACAATCTCATACTCTCATTTCGTCACGAGGCAATTGGATCCACCTGGAGCAGGGCTCGGCCCACTAGAACACCCTTTTGCACCAATAAATATCAAACATCCGAGACGCAACAAAAAGAAAACACCAACCCTTTTCCCCTTCTTCCACCTTCCCCTGGCTGCCCCTAGACTGATAGAATTACCATATGAATTACCTCATGGCTCAATTCCGTGGTCTGGTAGTGACCGATGCTGGTACCTGGACCATCCTGGACCTGGGTGTCCTGGACTACGTGTTCGATCCCAGCCCACTAATTATTGTCCAGGATGCTTCACACGCCAGGACGCCCAAACAGGATGCTTCAGGAGATGGTTGCTGATCTAGCTTTTGGGAGCCCAGGCATCCACTTCACTTCTTGGCGGATCTCACCGGCCAGGCATTCACCTGAATCAGATCACCGGGGCCTTCTTTCAGCCCAACGATCTTCTTCCAGGCGCCCCGGGTTCCGATTGGTTTTTGTTTGGAAAGGAAAGGATGGAGAGGATGGAGAGGATGGAGAGGAGATGGTGCGACAGAGAGGTGATGTGCGATGAGCTCTTGCTGAGTTTTTGTGGTCAAGATGCAAAGGTTTGCTTTGTTTCGGCAAACAACACTATTAATATAGTGCTGCAAAATGGCCGTTTTCAAAACGAGTCAGACAAACAATTTAAGGTTGCTTTTCACCAATCCAGCATTCGTTCAAACCCTTCGAGATCACCCTTTTCTTCGGTGGCGCCTCACCAACATGTAGTAGTTGGTTTTTTCGGGTCGAGGGTTGCCTCTGGGATGGATGGTTTCAGGGAGTGACGAAGCACCTTTTGGGCTACTTTGGGGCAGCTAGACTTCACCAGATTCCCAGCGAGGCGACAGCTAACTCACCAGCGGAGCTGCCTCGTTTTCTTCAAGCCACTCAAAAATGATTGCCAGGCAATGTCATCAAGGTCTACAACAACGAGATGCTCATCTTGGACATGGATGAGTATTCCCGGAAGGCCATGTGGATGTTGCCAGGTGATCTGGCTGCCACTTCTGGATGCATGTGCATGACCCAGTCCTTCCAAAGGACTATATATAAACGCAAACGACAAGTTAAAGTATGTACTTAACTAAAGTCAGTGATTCACTCCTTCTCATGGTCTTTCACTCCTGTGCATAGTGCATTTCTAAAGTGTACGAAAAGGATCCTGTTTCTATAACCTGTATGGATGTGTACGGTCATGAGGGCCATTGTTCGTCCCTGTCATTGATTGGTGGACCCCAAGAAAGAGGGGCCATGGAACGGGGAAATTCTCTTCGGTGAGGCACTTTCTCGGGGGGGCCATGAAGCGCGAAAACGGGATCCATGTGGCTTTCTTGGTTTTCGAACGGTTTTCCCCGCACGGGCTGGTGGCCTACCTTCTGAGAAAGTGTTTGGGAGGGTTTGGTCCAAATACCTAATCATTGATGTTGATCACAAGAGACCCCTGACTTGCTGGAAGGAGCACAGATGTCCTTCACATTCTTGGGGCAAGTATTCAAGTATATAAATTACTTTTTCAGAAACCGATGCTCACCTTGTGTGTTACCAAGAACCTTGTTCTCCGGACCGACGTCCGTCCACCACGCTGTCCACCTCGGTCCGATCAAACGGTAGAACAGGTCGAACCACCGAACACCCAGATGCTCCATGGGACTGCTCTATGCCGCCCCAGAAAGACCCCCGAAACAACCACCCTAATGATCCATGTATGCCATATGCCAGTCCCAAACAGGTCGTGTTTTGGGTATGGACACCAGACATTTGGACCGCGAGGAGTTTTTCAGGTCGCACCTTCCGGTTCATCGCCCGAGTTCATCGCCGTCGACGTCGGCAGGTCTTTGAAGATCCTGATACTTTGCTCCGGAAGTTCGACTTGGACCCTTTGGCAGCCAACCGATGTGTTTGTTCTGCGACACCATCGCGCGATCTATCGTCGAGGGGCATCGTTGCGATCATCGGAGGGGTCGGGGGATTTGGTTGGAAAGCGTGGTGAGGTGAGGACCAGCAGCGGAGGGGCCAAAAACCTAAGTGGGGGCTGTAGAAACCAATGGTCACAAGCCAAGTCCCCGGACCCTCCTGGCTACTGTAGGTGTTGCAACAGGTGTTGGCCAGTTACGGTGCCCAGAAACCAACGGTTACGGTGCCCAAAACAGCCTGTCGGAGGGTCCTGGTATAGCTTGAAGAGTTGGACCAGGTGGGCCTTCTTAGTCTGCTCATCTTGTGCACCATGATGGGCTGCAATTGGTCTTATAGATGGTACCGAGATGACCAGTTGTTGAGTGGGTGATCAAGGGAAGCTCGGCCCGCTATTCTCGACCGATTCGCAAGTGATTTGCCAAGGATTGGCAGGTGCATGTTTGATCTTTTGTGTACCTTTTGACTCGCTAGCATGGAAGTGGATGGCACCACCTGTTTGGTATTCGGAGAACAGTCATCCAGGCAATTTTACACTTGCATGTTAGTGAGTCGGAGTGTATAAGACTAAGGCGCCTAAATCAACTGCCAGATTTTGAACTGCCATATATGCCTACATTGACCCCCAAAACCACCCCAACTGATCGGCATATATGGCATACATGGAGTGTTTGGGACATGTTTTGCATTGTTTTACCATCAGCCAACTGCATGTCGAACAAACATCTTTGCTTCGAGTTCATCCTCTCACAGATCTCCAAGCCGGAAGAAGCAGGAACCTTGGGTGGTGGTTTTCCCCCCCTTGGGACCCCCCTTGGGATGATTGAAGCTGCTGACTCATGTACAGTGAGGTGAAGCGCCCCAACGGAATGCACCCTGCGAAGTCGGCCGCGCGCGGCGCGCAAGAGGGCGCGAACCCGCCACACCCGACGGAAGGAAGCGGTGCTGCAGAAGTTGAGGGACTCCATGCGCCAGCAGTATCCACTGATCCGCGATATCTTCAGGCAGTCCCCACTGTTTTCGCTGGTCCGTGGTCCGTGGTCTCGTTTTCGTGAAAAAGACACAACAGACGCTGTTGTGAATTGACAGTTGAGACCTGGTTGATGTAATGCCTTGCATCATTGGCCCCTATAGATGCCCGTTACGAAACCCTGAAGGGGGTTGGAGATGTTGTCGTTTGGCTTCGAGCATGAAGCACTTGCTTCAATTTTAAGCTGTGATGAGTCGTCACCAGGTTGAAACACTTGATTAAGCCGGTGGCCTGGTATCAAGTTGGATCGACGACTAGATCTCGTGAACAATTCTACCTGTCACAATGGCAGGTGGCAGATAGATTATATGCAACAAAATTACATAAATTGTCATGAAGCCTTTCCTGGTTCCTATGCCATTTTGCGCATTTTGCTTTGTTACTGAGTGCAACTTGAATGGAAGAAGTGGCCTCAGTTCAACGCCTTTGATTGTTGAGAATGGTATGGCTGCTCGGGGGACTGTTCCAATGATGTCTACTGGAGTTTTTCTGAAACAATCACGAGAGTGGATAGCATGGCCCATGGAAGACTGTCTACAAGCCGGTGGTTTCCACTTCCAGTTTTCCTCGGCGGTAGACTTTTCAAGCTTGGTAACATATTATGGGGGGCTCTATATATGAGCTATGGAGCTATCCATGCTGTGTTTCTTCAATCCGCCATCCATGTTGGCTCGCCATCCGGCACTGGCAGTGCTGACTCAGGGCCAGAAACATCCCGTGACTTGCTGCTATAGATCAGTCTCCCACTTGAGCCTTAAAACTGACTTCACTTCTTTTATTGAGGAATTCTCGCTTGGGCGTGAACATCTCTACCCCAGACACTCCATGTAATATATGATATATATGCCTCCATTGACCCCTGTGGCACCACCCTAATTGATTGGCAGTCCCAGACAGGTCGTGTCTGGGTATGAACTAATTGCCTAGACGCTCCGTTCACAGGCCAACCTTAGGAGTGGTTTGGTCCCTCCAGAGGATTCGGACACGGCCTCTACTGAACGGAGGGTCCAGGGTCGCGTATGGGTGGATCTTTTCTATCAGGGTGAGATTGGAACACTTGGATCGCAAGAAAACGCTTGTCCTTTAAATTGGAACTGTTTTTGCACGTTCAGCAACACCAAACGCACCATGTTGCATCCCAAAACCGTCCCAAAAACGCACACCAAAACTGTGGAACAACGGACCGATGTTTGCAGATCACCCAAACCACACCATGTCCGTCACGGTTCACCTCGCCGGGGCCGTGGTCGGGTCCAGTCCGCTTCGGTTCCGACATGCTTCGGTGTAGAAAGCGCGACCGCATTCCCTACACCGACTCCAGTCGTACCTTTCACCGACTTCGCGGTTCGGTAGGCTGGACCCGACGGACGTTTTGGCACCCGCCGGGCCCCGGGTCGTCCTCACCGAAACGGTTCGGTACCGACCAAGGGAGGCCAAACGATATGTGGTGTGTGTCATTTCGGCAGAGACCCGGAGTTCCCCCTGGGCCATGACTGGTCTGTCCGAAGCTTCCACTCAGGGGACAGAACGCCTGGGATGTTTTTGGGGGGTCTCCCCTAGCTATTTAGCAACTATGCCAAATGTCCCGTTGTCCCAGTTCTGCTGTTCTTGGCTGTTCTGGAAGGTTGGCTGTTGTTGTCCTTCCTTTTTTGGCTGTTCTATATAGATGAAAAGGCAGTTGATTTGTCCCAGTTGATGTGTTGCCAGGTACATCCCCCCTTTTCCCTCTCCCCGCTTCGCCCGCTCCACCGGTCTACGACGCCGTGGCATCGTTGCGCGTCGGTCGACAGGCGCTTCGATGGAGATCACGATGGCGTCGGGGGGACCCGAGAAGAGAAGCGAAAGCAGCGACGAAGGGAAGATCAAGACATCTCAAGTGAGTTTGACCTCATTTTGCTGAAGTTGATCAAACCAAGACA